ACATATATACATGTACATGTCCATGTACACATATATACATGTATGTATACACCCATATACATGTACACATACACACATATACTTGTACATGTACATGTCCACGTACATATATATACATGTACTTGTATACACACATATACTTGTACATGTACATGTACTTGTACACATACACATATATACGTGTACATTTGCACATGTACATATAATGTACTTGTACTTGTATATGACCATATACTTGTACATGCACTTGTACTTCTACACATACACATATATACATGTACATGTCCATGTACACATATATATACATGTACGTAACGCGTATACACACATATACATGTACATGTACATGTACATGTACACATACACATATATACATGTACATGTCCATGTACACATATATATACATGTACGTAACGCGTATACACACATATACTTGTACATGTACATGTACTTGTACATATACACATATATACATGTACATGTCCATGTACACATATATATACATGTACGTAACGCGTATACACACATATACTTGTACATGTACATGTACTTGTACACATACACATATATACATGTACATGTCCATGTACACATGCACGTATATACTTGTACATGTACACATGCACATATACACATGTACACATGCACATATATGCATGTACATGTACACATACACATACACATATATAGATGTACATGTCCATGTACACATACACATATATACTTGTACATGTACACATACATATATACATATGTACATGTACATGCACATGCAAATATGTTCACGTACACATACGTTTACACATATTTACATATACATATATATGTATATATGCACATGTACATGTACCTATACATATATACATGTACATGCACATGTAAACGAACACATGTATGCATGTACATGTACATGTGCCTATGCACATATATATGTACACGTACATGCACATGTACACATACATGCACATATATTCGTATAACCACGTTCACGTACACATACACATGTGCACAAGTACACAAATGCACATGTACACATAGTATATACATGCACATCATTAGCTCCCACCTCTGCGTTGTCGTCTACGTCTGGGTCGTGGGTCGTGAGCGCCATCACGGTGGAGCCGGGTAGCGCATCCTCCTTCACACGTGCCGAGTAATGGTCGTCGCTAAACGCCGGCGCATTGTCATTGTAGTCAATCACCTGGACAGTACACGTGATTGTTAATACATATATATATAAGGAAGGGAGAGATAGAGAGAGGGGAGGAGAGAGAGAGAGAGAGAGAGAGAGAGAGAGAGAGGGAGAGAGAGAGAGAGAGGGAAACAGAGAGAACGGAAGGGAGAGATAGAGAGAGGGGAGGAGAGAGATAAAGGGGAAGTGAGAGAGATAGAGAGAGAGAGAGGGAAAGAGGAAGGGAGAGATACAGTGTGGAGGTGATAGAGAGAGAGAGAGAGAGAGAGAGAGGGAGAGAGAGAACGGAAGGGAGAGATAAAGAGAGGGGGAGGAGGGAGGGAGAGAAAGAATGAGAGAGAGACTTACTATCTATGCAGTCGATATCGACGCAATTGCGATCGACGTCGTCGTTGCAAGTCGGTCCCGTCTTGCCGTCGGCGCACACGCACATGTAGCCGGCGGGTGACAGGTCCGGCACGCACATCTTAAAGCTGGGACAGGGCTGACGCGAACAGATGTTGATCTCCACGTCGCATCTCTCACCTGCAACACACGTGCATGTACGCGGCGGTACATATATACATACAATCAAGAGTAGATAGTAACTATTGTAACTATCTTGTAGTGTATTATCTACTCTTGATACAATATACACACAATAATGTATAGGTAAATATTATATCTAATTACTACTAGTGCTACTACTACTACCACCACCTGCACTACTACTGCTGCTGATGATGATAACGTTAAATATGCTGCTGCTGCTGTTGCTACTACCACTGCTGTTGTTGCTACTGCTGCTGCTGCTGCTGCTGCTGCTGCTGCTGCTGCTGCTGCTGCTGCTGCTGCTGCTGCTGCTGCTACTGCTGCTACTACTGTACAGAGCCCCCATCCCCCATACAGCTACTCTCCCCGCACTCACCTCCGAATCCCTCGGTGCAGTAGCAGTCGTGGCGGCGGCGATGCACGGGCGAGACGAAGCTCTGCGTTGCCGTGACGACGCTCACGACGTCGCGGTCGTCCATGACGAGCTTCTCGCGGCAGACGCCGCGCACGCACGGGTCGCGCTCGCACGCGTCCGCGACAACGCCGACGACGCGCACGTCCGTCGCCGCGGCGATGCCCGCCAGCGCCCCCTGGCCGAGCTTGCGCCGCAGCGCGCTCGCCTTGTGGTAGGAGTTCTCGCCGCGTGCCAGTGCCACGGCGAACAGCACGTCAAGGTCGGCGTCGTCGTCATCAAGGTCGCGACGGGATCGAAGGTCGTTGTTGGGCTCGTCAAGGTCGCGACGTGGTCGAAGGTCGTCGTTGTCGTCGTCGCGTGGCGCCGGCTGGATGCCGATGATGACGATGTCGCGCGCGCGCACGCTCAGCGCCGCCTTGAGAGCGCGCACGAACGCGTCGCGGTGGCGCTCGAGGAACGCGGCGGGGGAGGTGCGCGCGAGACGCACGGCGACCCCGCTCTGAAGCATCGGCGCGCGAGAGCGAGCGGAGACGCGCACCCAGGCGACATCGCACAGTGGAGCGCGGCGGCCATCCTCAACGCTCACGTTGATCGCGACGATCCGACGTCGAGGCCGAAAAGCGGCGGCCACAGGGTTGCCGTCCGAGCGCGTCCGATGTCGAAGAATACGATCGTCCATCAAGATGCGACGTGACGTGTCGTATGTGTCGCGTCCGTAGCCTGCACCTGTTATATATACATACAGAGAGAGATATACTGTGTATATATATATACATAATATAATTCAATCAAATGTAATATATTATTTTTTATTGTATATAGATATCAAGGGCTTAATAATGCAAATTGTCTATTATTTGTATATATTGCACATTTGTCATATTAACCCCTGATAATATATACATAATATAGATAATATATACATGATTGATACAATGCGTTTAATAACATTTAAAACCCTAAGCCACCCTCCACTCCACACTTCCGCTGTTCAGCACATCG